AGAGAGAGAGAGAGAGAGAGAGAGAGAGAGAGAGAGAGAGAGAGAGAGAGAGAGAGAGGCACCCGTAGAGCACCGACCGGCGAGCACACGCACACGGACCACGGAGCACACAGGCGCACGTTGAGAAAGACAGACGAAGTGCCGGGCGATTGGAGAAGTGGCCGTGGGCTGCAACAACATTGCGCGCAGGCGATTGGAGGGGTGGGCCGGCAATGAAAAAACGGGCGCGCGGGCGATTCGGCGCTTCCGGTACCAAACGCAGACCTTGGAGGAGTGGGGGGGGGGCACGATGACGGGCCGACGGGCTGGATGACGGGCAGGCGAACGGGCGGGAGAATGGGCGGACGGAGGGGTGGCCCACGATTCGAGGTGTGGGCGTGCCTGCAATTCGGCGCCTCCAGTAGCGACATCGCACGACCCGAATCGCAGGCCGGTAACGCGCCGCGGACGGCCCAGATCGCAGGCCGATCAGAAAGCTTTCTGATCGGCCTGCAATCTGGGCCGTCCGCGGCGCGTTACTGGCCTGCGATTCAGGCCGTGAGATATGACGTTTGGCAGTTCTTATAGTAGGTGTAGATGTAGATGTAGATGCTCATTCCTATCATTTAGCAGTTCCGCACGGGGAATAGGAGAGGATATAAGGAAAAGGGAGGGTGTGGAGAAAGAAGGGAGAAGAAAGAGCAGGGAAAAGTAGGACCCCAGTAGATCCTGAATACTCACCAGTACAAGTGACTGCCAGAGAACGGCAAGAAAGACGGTGACCACTCAATGTCACCTTCGTCCCAAATAGAACGCACAGTCATTATCCCCGTACGTAGACTGAAGGTTGCCCCAAATACAGCCATAATGCGCGTACATTCTATTTGGGGAAGACCGTAGGGTCACACAGAAAAATGAATGGAGGAGCAGGTGTTATATATAGCGATTGCCTCGCACAGAAAAATAAATGGAGCAGCAGGTGTTATAGCGATTGTGCACACCGCCCCCACAGACGGGGCAAGACTGGTTCTGGAGTGGCCAGTTGAAGCACCACATCCAATCGTTGCAGGGACAGTCACTGTGTGGAAGGGTGCAGATGGATATCACAGTCAACATGGCGTCTACATGCTAGGAACAGAGAGACAAGGTGATTGCCGTTAGAACACCAGTTCAGCCGAGCTTATTTGTACAAAGCCACTGTTCGCAGCCTATCTCGTGAGGTATTTTGTCTAATAGGCTAGAAATTGCTCATGATCCTATTCTTAGCCGAAGCCGGGTGATGGCGCCCCGGAATCTCGAGTTTTTCCTTATATGTTCTCCACTATGTTCCTAATGGGACGCTGGGCCCGGTTCCCAGCACGTGCGGCTCCCCATGAATAGATTGGAGCTTTGTCTCTCCCCCCCCCACCCCAAAAAAAAAAAAAAAAAAAAAAGCAAGCTGTTCGCAACTCCACAGCCTCCGACTGGGCCTTTTCTTAGTGGCCTCCACGGCCCACTCCCGGCCCAGGCCTGAAGCGTAATGCTCTTACCACATACACAGGTTGACTTAGCTTTGGGCACAGACTGTCATTAGAAGTGTGAAAACATTGTCAAGGACTCATACAGACCATACCCTCATCATGCTCACAAGACAAAGTCGGTCGTAGTGATCCAGGGACTCATGTGGAACGGCCCTCACTCAACGGATCAGAGATACGCCTGGGATAACAGGCTGATGACTTCCAAGAGCTCATATTGACGGAGCAAAGTCGGTCATAGTGATCCAGGGGACTCATGTGGAAGGGCTCTCACTTAACGGATCAGAGATACGCCCAGGATAAGAGGCTGATGACTCCCAAAAGCTCATATTGACGGAGCCATTTTAGCATCTCATATCTTGGGGTACTTCACTGTACGTGTCTAGGCATGAAGCCCTATATGTGCTGGGAGTATCCGACCAAACTGTGTAGGCGTGAAGCTGGATATATGCTGGGAACTTTGAGTATCCCACCAAAATGAGTCCGTGCCGACAATCAGCAGGGAAGGAAGGAAGTACATGTGTCAGGGATGTAATACATGTGTTGATACATGTGCTTGGCCCCTCAATGGAAGTAATACATGTGTTGATACATGTGCTTGGCCCCTCAATTACTACACGCCAGACATCCCTGCTTGGGATGATGATATAGTCTGAACTTCATGGCAACACCAAGGCTAAAGTCATTCAAACAAGGCGACTTGTAAGTGAGATTGGTCCATTTATTTTAAGACACTACTGGTGCATTTATATATTGCAGACTGCGCCACTTCCTGCATGCCACTATCCATAGTATCAGGAAATGCTGATGACATGTTAACCTCACATCAGTTGGGTCATCACAGAGCAGCCGTGAGCAGAGAGTTTCTCGTGCTTGTACTTGTTCTACCAACATAGCCTGTCCCCGAAAGGGGGAAGTAGGGTGCACCTGCACTCAATTACCGCCAGGTGCGGTCCAAAACGGTCTCCTGTCTTTCTGAACAGACTAACGGGAGACCTAGACAAGATAGGGCTGCTGTGCCCCGAACGTACCCCTGTGCGAAGAAAAAACGGGATTACCCCCCCGTTGTGAGTCTAGGCTGGGGGCTGGGGGTCGATACAGAAGAACGACGGGCTCACCTTCACGGACGAGAGGTATGCACTTCTGCACCGGGTTTCCAGCTGGTGCAGCTCCCCACCAATGGAATGGAGCCATCAAACAACTGCGGGCTTTCAATCTCTGGGATGCTCTCACCACTATCATCCATTCTTATCACTATCATCCATTCCGCCAAATGATACTTTCTTTTCTTTTCTTTTCTTTCTTTCTTTCTTTCTTTCTTTCTTTCTTTCTTTCTTTCCTTCCGTGTTCAAGAAGGAAAAAAAGCAAGCCCTAGGTTGACCACCGGCTTACCTCCGCAGGCGGATATTGCCGATGTTGTTCGCCGGCGGATATTGCCGATGTTGTTCGTCGATCTCTCCTCTCCTCTCGTCTGGGCTGGAGGCCGACACAGTTGGTAGAAGATGGAAAGACAGATGTTCACCTTCTTGTCACCCTGCCTCCTTCTCTCTTGCAGGCCATAACATGATGCAATTAGCCTATCGCACCCCGCGACACGTCAGTCCAATCCAACCGGCAAATAGTGTAACGTTTGGACACATAGATCCGACCCATCCATCCAACCATCATGTCCGCCTCCACATCCATCCATCCTTTTGCAAATTTACTCCTCTATCCACCCGGCTCTCCTCATCCTTCCATCCTGACCATCCACCCACGCATCTCGATGATCCATCCATCCATCATGCATCCGTATAATCCATCCGCCCACGCATGCATCCCGATGATCCATCCATCCATCCATGCATCCCGATGATCCATCCATCCATCCATGCATCCCCGTGATCCATCCTTCCATGCACCCCAATGATCCATCCATGCATTGCATCCCGACGAGCCATCCACCCATCGATCCATGCATGCACCCCGATGATATACTAACTATCCATACATCCGTCCATCCGTGCATGCATCCCAATGATCTACCTATCTTATGCATGTATCTCGATGATCCATCCATCCATCCATCCACCAATTCGACCAATGCCATCACTTAGCTACGTGGACGATGGCATTCGTTGGAAGAATTCCGGGAGCGATTTTCTTTGGTCGCTGACGAACGATTCCCTTTGTCGAACCAGCATGTTTTGACGAGCGAAAAACAGTTGTGACAAGGGGGCACGTGCCCAAGAGGACTGAACAGGACAAATCACAATCGTCATTACCACAGCGCTGGCATCTCCTCCTCCTTATCCAAACAGTAAATGTTGCAGCAACGGAATCACCAAAAGCTCCGAGAAATCCTCGAATACAGCGCGCACCTCCTCTTCTGACTCGGCATCCATTACATCGCCGTATCGGAAAGAGAAGATAGCCACAGCGGTCAACGGGATCGGAATGAGAGAGTCAAACCCAATGATCCTATCCCATAGGAGAAGCACCTGCTCCACTTCCAAGAGGCCAACAAAGGCATGGACGATCCACGGAAATGCTACGGACAAAGGCGGACAGTCCAAGTCCAGCAAATGCATTACCAGGTCGGGATGGATGTCGTAAAGCAGACTCTCAAACAGCTGACATAATGGCAGCAAGGAGCCAGCTGTAAATTGACGGATCGGCCGGTTGGAGGCAGGCGATTGATGGACACGTCGTTGTTGATGGGTTGTTGATTTGTTCGTTTCGACAAGATCAAGGCAAGCAAAGTGAAGACAAAGCCGATCGCAAAAAACTTAGATTAGATCAAAAAATCAGATTAGATTGCGCGCTCGACTCTGCGCTTCATTGCTCCATCCAGTCAAAAGATATAGCTTTCCCTCCACCGCCATCAAAACAGACGAAACAACAGCTATACTTAGCACCCCTCTCCTTCGGAAAGTTAAGTGGTAAGACATCAAATGCATTCGACATAACATAGAATTACCATCAACTCCAAAAGAACTGGGGCCTCTCTCTCTCTCTCTCTCTCTCTCTCTCTCTCTCTCTCTCTCTCTCTCTCTCTCTCTCTCTCTCTCTCTCTCTCTCTCTCTGTCTCTCTGTCTCTGTGGCAGGTCTCCACGACTGAACAGCAACAGCGGACGACCTGCATGAAGCCTGAACACATCAACCTTCTCCTTCCTCGTCAATGGCATTGTCCTTGTCGTCCTGGTCGTCCTCGTTTTCCTCTTCATCATCCCTGCACGTCATGTCTGCATGTAATAACCAAAACTGCGGAAAGCTGGGATTGTGTAGCCGATCCTAGCCAGATAGTGTGTGTGTTGTTTTTTTTTCCGTTTCTTTTTCTTCATTTGAACTGGATAAGTGGTCGCATACTCGTAATCCTGGCTTCCGAGAATCCCTGGTGATGAATGCGTGTCTTTACCAGCAGAAACGACGGTACGCGACGATGCAGAGGAAGGAGAGGGATGACGTCAACAACCACGACGAGGAGGAACTCTACACCACGAACATAATGAAAAAGGTGTTTCTCCAAACGAAATGAAAAAAAGATGTCCCACATAGTCCCGGCTGGCTTTCGCGAGTCTCTTCATACGCGCCCAATTCAATTGTGGAAAAGCACTATAGTCTCGAGTGGTGGCGACTAAAGGAATTGCCTGCCCGTCTTTCCCTGAGCAGAACGCACCCTCATTATGACTCTATCTTACGGGAAGGATAGCGTGCAAACATTCATGATGAGGCTGCGAGCCTCGTCTCGTTTTGCACAGGCTATGACACCTGGGAGCCCCAAGGGCTGTAGCACTATGCAGTTTTTCGTGGACTCCATCACTTGGCCAGGAACGTCAACCTCAATTTGCCTTATTTCCTAGTTGATGTGGTATGTACAGAGACAGGAAAATAACACAGACGGGGAGCACTCTACCGCTGTCCCAGGGTTGCCATCTGTCTGTGTTATTCCCCAATTGATCAAGTACATAAACATCCCTACAGGGCCTACAGAGTCATACATACATACGAACAAGCAGCCTGGATACCGTCGACGAATCGATATGCAGATCGATAGACAGAGGAACACACATATGCATACATATCGTCAAACAGAGCTGCCCCGTAAATCGTAGGCAGAGAGGGAGACGAGGACAACAAACGAGGGGCTGTGACAAACTGTTTCGTTGCAGTTTCACCGACTCATCAGGAGGCTGAACCCTATATATTATTTATTTATATATATATCGTCACAAACAGAACTGCCCGGTAAACCGTAGGCAGAGAGAGAGAAGACGACAACAAACGAGGGGCTATATATATATATATCGTCAAATAGATATATATATATATATATCATCACAAATATATATATATATATACCTGTTCATCACCTCTTCCGTACAAGGCCAGCCACGTGGATGACAGGTTGAGCGCTGGCTGCCCCCATCCCCGTGTGTCACAAGGACCCACTTGCACGCAGCCAAAAGGCAAAGAGGTAAAGAAAAGGAGGAGGAAACCAAACCTGACAGGGAAAGAAAGATAATCCAATTGTCACAAAGCAAATAACACATCCCACAGATCAACATATCTTTTCTTTTTTCTTTTTTTCTCTTTTTCTTTTCTTCTTTTTTTCTTTACCTGTCCCCACCTCGGCAGATAGGACAGCAACGGTGAGGATGATGTGGATGTTCACAAGGATGCCCAAGGAGAGCTGCGCCAGCACAGCATTCAGCAGGACGGCTAGCACGAACCATCCCATCAAAACAGTCCTGACAGAGGACATGTTGTCCACATGTCAAAAAAACAGCAGGGCGTTCATCACAGTGCGGCATCATACAGTTCTGATAGCGTCCTTGGGCACAAAAGGGACAGCGTATATCTGGGTGTATATATCGTCATATATATTGTTACAAAAATATCAGAGCGCAAAAGCGGAAAAAAAAAAGAAAGAAAACAAGGAAAAAATGAATTCATTTTTTATCTTCTTCCTTGGGGAGTGTTGGTCCTTGGTCTACGCCCGGTCGTTTTGGGGGGTGATTCGATGAGGGACCTGGCTAACGTGTTAAACACTCCGCCTGGGGAGTACAGTCGCAAGGCTGAAACTCAAAAAGCACATTCATAGAGGGCATGTCTTGCTGCACTTCGTGCCTGGAGCTGTGATGCAAGCCCCCTGGCGCTTAAACAAGATGAGGCGGATCGCTGGAGTAAAAGGATTCGAACCTTTGCATGTCGGTATCAAAAACCGATGCCTTTCCACTTGGCTATACTCCAATGAGATAACGCGACCGACCAACGGCCTCAATGTCTTAGCTTAGAATTGTGTTTYTGTTTTTCAACTATTTGACTACACCATACAAACAACAATTGAATATTTATGGCAAGACAACTATCGATTCTTAAACAACCTATATTTTCTACATTCAACAATCATTTGGTAGATTATCCAAGGCCTAGCAATCTCAGCTATTGGTGGGGTTTTGGATCTCTTGCTGGTATTTGTTTGGTAACTCCCCCTGATCAGAACCTCTTGCGTACAAGGTGGCCCACGTGGACGTAGGTTGAGGGGCGGCCCCACCCCGGTGTTTCATTTCGACCCACTTGCACACAGCCAAAAGGCAAAGAGGCAAAGAAAAGAGGAAGGAAAGAGCCAAACACAACAAAACAGGGGGAAACAAATCCTAGATGACAAGTCCCACATATAAGCACCGCCCCCACGTCACAGGCCAAACGACGGGACCAGACCAACCAGGATATCAAAACACCTTCCCTGCAAAAAAGGGAATCAATCTATTGCAACTGCCGCCGTCTGTGCTGAAGGATGTCCAACAAAACTAAAAGACAATCCCAGATGGCGATTCCCACATAAAAGCACCGCCCCCAAATGCACAGGCCGAACAATGGGAAACAACCAACCAGGATGCCAAAATAAAAAAAGAACCCGGACGACTAGGCCCACATGAAAGCACGGCTACGCATCCTAAAATAGAACGAACAACAGGACAAACCAACCGGGAAGCATCGTCACGAAGATATCAGAGCGCAAAAGCGATAAAAACAGAAAATGGTGGGACTGCCCAAAATCACGCAGATGGTGGAAATGGTGGGAATACCACCGGAAACGTTTTACAGGTCTGTCCGTATTTGTTGGGCAGCGGTGGGCGTTGTTGGGGGGAGTTCCAGAGGGATACAGCGGAAAGGTAGGGTGGGGCTATATTGCCCAAGTGTGTAGAGTGATCTTACTCTGGGTCATCTGGTTGGAAAGAAAGGTCTGAGATTCAAGGGGAAAGGCTTGACTGATAAGCAGGCAGGCGCTACACTCAAGCTTCTCCTGGCTGTAGCGATCAAGGCCGACTGGACACTGAAAGTTCTTGGGGGAGACAGGCTCGGGCGAGAGGATTGGTTTCGTAGGACACGGTGTGTCAGAGAGCAACTAGCCAAGATCAATTCAGAAGGGAACCTGACATTGTGTGGTTGGATTGAGAACAGTTAAGTCGGACCACGATCAAAAGGTAGCAGTAGGTGCTAGGCTAGGGTTCGGTTCTCAAAAGGAAGGCTTTTGTTTTATGAACCAGGTGCACTCGGTTCCAGTCAGCGGTTGCAGTAGACCGCAAGAGTGGGGAGGGATGGAGAGTGTCAGGGTCTGCTAAATGGAACAAATGTTCCTCTCGGTCAATTAGACTGGACTCAGACCGGAGATAGGTCTGTGAAATGGGGCAGGGCAGTAGGTATTGTGAATGGGAGCAAAACTAGCGAGTGGACCTGTTAAGCTGATAAGATAGGAGAGCAGTGCTTAGAGAGGATCGGGTGCATGTGGAATATTGATGAGTAAAGCTAAGCCGGCTGATGCTGCCGGGATAACCTCCGTGTCGAATTGTGAGGATCCCCGGCCTCGTTTTGAACACAGTCTGGAAATGAAGTTTTAAAGAAGAAAAAAAAAACACAAAAAATCAACTCATTTTTTTATCTTCTTCCTTACAACTCCCCCTGCTCATAAAGAACCTCTTTTGCGTACAAGGCCGTCCACGTGGATGTAGGTTGAGCGGCGGCTGTCCCCACGCCCCTGTGTCATATCGAACCACTTGCACACAGCCAAAAGGCAAAGAGGCAAAGAAAGAGGAATGGAACAGCCAAACATAACAAAACAGGGGGAAACAAACATAAACAAATCCTAGATGACAAGTCCCACATGCAAGCACCGCCCCCTCCGTCACAGACCAAACGGCGGGAGGGACCAACCAGGATATCAGAACACCCATAGCCTGCAAACAAGCAATCCCAGATAACAGTGCTCGCCAGGGACTCTGCATCAACTTCAAGAATCCTTTGCCATTGTTATTTGTTGCAAAAACTGGTATCACTTCAATCGGAGCGCAAAGGCGGAAAAAGACAAAACAAGAAAAGGAAAAGAAGGAAGGAAAGCCCCACCTGTTCATCACCTTTGTCTGCATCCCCGTGTGTCACAAGGACCCACTTGCACGCAGTCAAAACGCAAAGAGGTAAAGAAAAAGAGGAAACTAAACCTGACAGGGAAAGAAAGCCTATCAGTCAAACAAAGCAAATGACACATCCCACAGATAATCCAATTGCCGCAAAGCAAATAACACATCCCACAGATCAACATTTTTTTTTTCTTCTCTTGTTTTCCTTTTTTCCTTTTTTCTTTTTTCGGCAATTTGAACTTTCTTTCTTTTGCTTCTTTTTCTTCTTCTTTCTTTAACTCGGTATCTGTCGGTAGTGTCGAAGACTTTTATCTGTCCCCACCTCGGCAGATAGGACAGCTACGGTGAGGATGCCGTGGATGTTCACAAGGATACCCAAGGAGAGCTGCGCCAGCACAGCATTCAGCAGGACGGCTAGTACGAACCATCCCATCAAAACAGTCCTGACGAGGATATGTTGTCCACATGTCAAAAAAACAGGAGGACGTTCATCACAATGCGGCATCGATATATACGTCCTCTTCTCCCTCTCTGCCTACGGTTTACCAGGCAGCTCTGTTTGACGATATATATATACATCCTAATGAGTCGGTGAAACTCCGACGAAACAGTTTGTCACAGCCCCTCGTTTGTTGTAGTCTTCTCCCTCTCTGCCGACGGTTTACCGGGCATTTCCGTTACGACATATATCGTCACAGGTACCTTGAGGGCAGTGGTTGGTGCCCACCTCAGGGTATTCAGTTGTAGGGCTACTGTTCATGCTTAACCAAAACCGGGGTTAAGGTGGATTATCACTTAGTGTAATCAGTTAGGGGATTCTGCAGATTGTTTAGGGTTCAGCCTCCTGATAAGTCGGTGAAACTCCGACAAAACATCTTGTCACAGCCCCTCGTTCGTTGTCCTCTTCTCCCTCTCTGCCTACGGTTTACCAGGCAGCTCTGTTTGACGATATATATAGATATATTGTCACACTGAATCGGAGCGCAAAAGCGGAAAAAGACAAAACAAGAAAACGAAAGAAAAATGGAAAGGAAAGCTCCGCCTGTTCATCACCTCTTACGTACAAGGCCAGCCACGTGGATGACAGGTTGAGCGCAGGCTGCCCCCATCCCCGTGTGTCACAAGGACCCACTTGCACGCAGCCAAAAGGCAAAGAGGTAAAGCAAAGGAGGAAACCAGACCTCACAGAGGCAAGAGAAAGAGAAAAAGATCCAATCAAAGAAAAGACAAAGAAGAGGAAGGCCTATCAGTCAAACAAAGCAAATGACACATCCCACAGATAAACCAAGTGCCACTGTCACGACAAAGTTTTCTTTTTTTCTCTTTTTCTTTTCGTTTTTTCAACTTTTTCTTTCTTCTTTCTTCAACTCCACATCTGTCGGTAATATCGAAAGCTTTATCTTTCCTACAATTAATGTTGCTCCTGACCTGCTTGATTATACATATATATATATAACTACCTAGCTACACACACACACATATATATATAAAACTACCTAGCTACACACACATATATATGTATGTGTGTCTTTGCCTTTTGGCTGCGTGCAAGTGGGTCTTTATGACACACGGGGATGGGGGCAGCCAGCGCTCAACCTGTCATCCACGTGGCTGGCCTTGTACGTAAGAGGTGACGAACAGGTGGGGCTTTCCTTCCTTTTTCTTTCTCTTGTTTTGTCTTTTTCCGCCTTTGCGCTCCGATTTCCAGTGTGACAATATATATGTGTGTGTGTAGCTAGGTACGTACGACGGTAAATGGGAAACTTAGAAAGAGGTACAATGAGTTTCAAGACCTCTGAAACAGACCCGGCCGTTTGCATCTGCATGGTGGAGGCAGCCATCTGCATCTTCTTGGTGAAGGCGGCCAGGTGCATTATCTGCATGTGCACGGAGTAGACGGCCGAATGCTTCTGCGAGAATAGAAAACTCCTGCGCCTTGGCCGTCTAACATGAACCTTATTATACTGTCCTCCAATTACATCATCTCATGGAGTTCGATTTTACGTCAACGAGTTGCATCTCATCCGAGTCGCTGAGGGGACGCGCGCGCGCGCACACACGCACACAAACTTTGGGCAATAAAGGATGGTGAGTCCTTGTCCCGCTGTCAAATGCATCCCAGGCAGACTGCCGAGGTTCAATCTCCTGATGAGTCATGAAAGCCCGACAATACAGTCTTGACATGTTCCCAATTTTCATGTGGCGTTGTTAGCAGCGAACACACACGCACACCCCTTCTCATGAGTCCGTGAAAGTCCGACAAAACAGCCTGGCACAGTCATGACTTTTTTGTGGAGAGTTGTATAGCGAACATGACCACACACACACACACGCGCGCGCGCCAACATGCGGACGGATGGCGGTCTGTGATTTCTCCTTTTCTCTCACCTTGGGAGCTGATGACATGCAGCTTGCAGAAATGTCTGGCATAGAGTGCCCTGGTGCAGAAGTAGATCTCTGACTTGGACACGAACAAGTAGCAGACTGGAGCAGCGTAAAGCACCAGCCCAGAAAATGGGATCACACCAGACGGGGGATAGCGGGTCCTTCCGGTGACCGGGTCTCCTCCGCCAGAGCCGAGGAATTTGCCCACCCCTGGTGGAAGGCGCCGTCTGGAACGCGATGAAACCTCCCTCACATCCACCTCCCTTCCCAGTGTGCCATCTTTACCGTACTCCTCGTCTTGCCCGACCACTCCGTCTCTATTGCTACTTCCACGATACATTCGCTGCGCGCCAAAAGGGCCGCCAAAGCTGGACGAGAAGGTCCCCCCCTTCATATCCGCGGCGACCCCCGCGCGCCTCACGGCGGGGCGTGCTGGCACCCTTGCCCCCTCCTCCTCATCAAAGTAGATCGAAGGATGAGGAGCGATGGCACAGATGTCCGACAGAAACTTGTCCCTCGTCATAGCCAGCATCACTACACGCAAAGCGTCCTCGAACACGAAGTAACGCGCATCATCGGCAATATCATGGACGTCAACCCCCGCGAAGGTATCAGTGAGCATTCCCTGCCGCTCAACATGGCCACACAAACGCTCAAACTCCTCTTCCAAAGCCTCTCTCGTTCCACCTCCCCATCCTCCCCCTCCTCCCCCTGCTCCCCCTTCACCCCGCTCGGCAGTTGAAACGGTCCTACCACCCGCCTTGGAGGAAGAAGAGGAGGACGGCAAGTCCTCCATCCCCAAAGCGACACACCATGTGCGCGCCCGCAGCGATGCTGGCACTCCCTGGCGAGCGAAAATCCTACACCGGGCTACCGATCCCGACGCCACCTCAGCTTCTCCCAATTCCATTCGCCGCTCTCGGAACCACGGGTGCAAAGCATCGTCCACGCCTATCTGTCGATGCTCAAGTGCTAGCTCCCTGAACTTTCGCCGAAGATCCTTGATCTTGGGAATGTCATATCTCAGCGTCACTCGGACAACTCCCGACCCCGACGCGAACTTCTTCGCCTTCTTCTCCCTCCTCTCTGGCCTACAAGTCGAGGGGGGGGATGAGGAGGAGGAAGATGACGCTTGCTCCTGAGGGTCCCTGATGCAGACCATGGCGTTGTACAGGTCCACAGCGTTATACACGGCCACGTATTCGCCTTCATCTACTAGCGATTGCGCTCGCGCGAGGCGATCCGATGGTCGAGATGAATCTGCATCTGGCGGCGGAGGCCTGACGCTGCCAATCAACCGTATCTTAGTCTCGGCGCTTAGGCGTAGTATCCGTCTCTTCACTCGAGAATGCCACTGCCGCCGCGCGTGCGCAATCGCAGGAACCGGGTCATAGGACGAAGCGATCGCTTGATCAATATGAGCCAAAGGACGCGGCGGCGGCGGCGGTGGTGGTGGTACTGGAGAAGGAGAGGAGAACACCACTCCTCCCCTTCCTCCTCCTCCTCCTCCTCGTGCTCTTCCCTCTCCCAACCTCCACTCACACCCTCCTGTTTCCCCCACTACCCGATTGGACAAGCACCCCAGCCCTCCCACACAGGCAGCGTTATCAACCACACCACCGCGCTGCGACTCTCCATTACTCTCGGTGAGAGGTTGACGACAACGACAACCCAGGGTACTGTTTCTGTTGCTTGCCGCCTCCATGGCGCCGAATCGGGCCCCTCCCTGACTCCGCGGATCCGTCCAAGTGTAGCCCATCCTATACGATTCCTCTCTCTCTTCGAGCAGCTTCATCTGGTCATAGGCTCGAAAAGCGCAGTTCTTTAGCCGTGGAGCGAATCCTAAGCCTTGCAGCAGCTGTCGGACAACTTTCGGCATTTCCTGAGCTCTGTATCGAGGATTGATAAGCTCCAGGAGGACCGTTTCTTTGGCCCGTTTGAGTTCCACATCGTCCTCGAGGGCACGCAGCACTCGCTCGACCGCCGATTGACGTGCACTGTCCCACACTCTCTTAGTCAAAACTTCTTCAGATCGTTGATCTTCTACCTCCGCAGCAGAAGACCTGGCCTCTCCGTCCACCAGCAGCGTGCTGGTGGAGAATTCCACAGGTGGAAGTTGCTCTGCACCTGGCCCATCCGACATGACCGTTAGGCTGGATACAGCATGGATGGACAACGGAGCAGACGTCGCACAAGGAGGCGTCTCCCGGCAGCCAGCCCTGTACAACGTGATGGAAATCCGCCTGCTTTCAGGATCGCGAACCGTCCTCCGCCTTTACATGGCATTTGCCCTGTTTCCCGCTGGCAATGTTTATGCGTACCGATGATCTCAGTGCCTGCCAAGCTCACTGTGGAAGTCATACAGCAAGCGAGACGATTGCAGGCACAGCGCCGTCGGAAGACCAGGAAGAAAGCTCCCAAACTCTTTCTTTGCACGCCACGTGTTCGTCATGAACGCCGCAATGGTCGTTGTCAGCACAGTGCAGCTCGGCCGCCGCCCTGCCATCTACTCGTACATTAACCGTCGAGTCGAGTTGACAGGTCCGCAATCACAATGAGCTTATTTATAATCGTCAAAGAAAAATCCGTCCAGCCCTTGAGCTGGCCACGTATATCATCAACACCCCAGCTGCAGCTGGAGAGAGATGTGGCAGACACGAACAACCAGACCAAGAGCAGCGGAGCACGGCTAATGAAGACGAAAAAGGGGAGAACAGAGGAGGAGAACGTTGTACAGCGAATGAAGTAGGGCCTCCCCACACCAGAGTTTGGCTGTCGCCACACGGCCTCTCGAAACTCTGAACCAAAAAAAAAAAAACCTCTGAAGAGTCTGAACAAGAACAAAAATCCAGAGCTGTCAGAATTGATCTTCAAGAGGGAACTCTTGAAACTGACATACCGCGAAGTCGCGGGCCCGCAGCCCGTCGCGGCCCCAGGAAGCCGGAAGCAGGTGAGGAAACAGGCGTGATCACTACCCAGAACAGGTATGCGTGTTTTACCCCGACAACATGTGGGGTTTGCCGAACACATGAGTCCGGTATGTTAGTTCGTAATGTGAGTTGCTATGTGTGCCTGTGTCTGCGTAACGGCCGGATTTGCGGGATGCTTGCAAGGAGACGTTTATTTTCTGTCTCCAGTTTTCTGCCAACCGTCCAATCTCGGGAATACTTGCGCCGGTGTCCCGTGGTGATGACTATGGGCGAGCGGGCCGCGAAACATGCAGTTTTTGTCATGCTTGTCCTGGCCTTCTGTGTTGAAGAGCGTGGGTGACGGAAGGTGGTCTTTTGTGGGTGAAGAAATTGATGCGAATTGTTTGTAAGATGTTGTTCACACATAAAATATGTTGCATTGTAGCAGAAGGGAATGCCAGTTTTTTTGTCAGAGAGTGTGGTGCGAGTTTTGTCAATGAAGGGCAACAGTATGGCAGTTCCTTTTTCATGTGTCGTAGCATGTTTCTCAGCTGCCAACTGTAGTGAGTGTCCGTGTAATCAGCGATGCGGATTTGAGCAAAGTTTTGTGGCATCTGAGAGACGCGTGTCATCATGAGGTTGGGACACGAAGTTGGGATCATGTTCGGCAGAGGGTTTGTAGAAGCATTTTGTTCTTGTATTTTCGGTTCACAGGCTTGGTCTTGTCGGAAATTGTTGTCAATTGTTTGTAACATGTTGTTCAGACATATGGATTTGTAGAGTCTATGATTAGCCTGGTGTCATTCATGATCCATCAGCCATTGATAAGCAATTCATCAAAGAGGCAATTCTTTGGAGCAGTTGAGATGGCAGTTGTTGATGGGGGACACTCCCAGGCGTTGTAGCATGTTTGCCAGCCGCAAACTGCAGGAAGTGCATGTGTAATCAGCGACGTGGATATGAGTAAAGTTTTGTGGCATCTGAGAGACCTGTGGCATCATGAGGCCGATGTGTGCATTCGTAGAGTCTATGATTTGCCTGGTGTCATTCATGATCGATCAGCCATTGATAAGCAATTGATCAAAGAGGCAATTCTTTAGAGCAGTTGAGATGGCAGTTGTTGATGGGGGACACATTTTGCAAGCTTGGAGAGGAAGTCAGGATTGTGTATATATTTATAGGATGACTTTATGTAATAGAATAATAAATAGTTATATTTTATGACTATTTCTATGCTGTATATTCACAAATCATATTTGTATTCTCTAGAGGGAATATGTCATAGGACATATAAAATACCGGCTACAAATTCGATGACGGCATGTGGCGAACCGAAAACCGGATGCGAGCATTCGTCGACGGCGCGCGGGACTGCTCAGCCGATGGCAGTGACAGACAGTCATCAGCAGGCAGGTTTGTAGGAAGAAGGGCAGTATGTGTGCATGTGTGTGTGTGTGTTGTCATTTGTTGACCATCAGCCAATGATAAGCATAAAGCAGTTGTGATGTTGTCGATCTTCGGCCAGCATTCTGTATGTGTTGTGGCATGGGGCAACCGAAGCAGCCGGGTTCAGAAAAACTGGCCAATGCATCAGAAGCAGCATTATTCTTCGATTTTCAGCTTTTTACTTGTATCCAGTTGCCAGTGAATGGGAAGAATGGCAGGCATTGGTAGGGAGGATGGCAGAGAGGCAAGGACACATCAGGAGGTAGGTTTGAGTCTATGATTTGTTTGTTGTCATTCATGACCCATCAGTTATTGGTAAGCAATTCATCAAAGAGGCAATTCCTCGGAGTTGTTAAGACGGCAGTTGTTGATGGGGGGCACATTGTGCAAGCTTGTCTCCTGAGGAAACATGGTATAGTATATATGACAGCATCAGAGACCATGTCATGCGGATCAGTCTTTGCCTCTCTTTCCCGGTTCCATTGTCTCAGAGATATCAGCGGATTTTTTTTATCTATCAAATCGAAAATTGGACGTAAGCATTCATCAACCATGTGTGACACTGTATGGTGAGATGTACAGATGTCGGGAGGCATGCGAGCAGGAAGATGGGCAGACCAACGACTCAGTATGAGGAAGCCGGGAAGACATGGAGGCAATCATGCAGCCAGGTGGTATGAGGAATGTTGTCCAGTAGGCAGGAAGGCAGGAAGGGTGGCAGCGAAGCAGGGCGGCAGGCAGTCATATGTAGAGAGGCGGACAGCTACATGTATGTGTGTGTGTGTGTGTGTGTGTGTGTGTGTGTGTGTGTGTGTGAGAGAGAGAGAGAGAGGCGGACAGTTACATGTATGCGTGTGTGTGTGTGCGAGAGAGAGAGAGAGAGAGAGAGAGAGAGAGAGAGAGAGAGAGAGAGAGAGAGAGAGAGAGAGAGAGAGAGAGAGAGA